CTACTTCATAAACATACTTAAGGTGAAGGGGGCTAGCGTAAACAGGTGTCATTCCTTTTAATCATTCACACTTAGCAATAAAATAAAGCTACATTTTCGCAATGATAAAATAAAATAAACCAGTTGAATAGCCTTTATAAATTAGAAAATTTTAGTTGAGAAAAAGAAATGCACGCAAAGGATTTCACAAAAATGTATTGAAATTTTATTTATTTTACAAAAGTGCCATTTTGGCACTTTGTGCCAAATTGAAAAATTAAGTGCAATTTGAAGTAAAATAGGGACAAATGGCACGGTTTGGACCAAGTCGGCATCCCTGCTTCCAATAACTTACAAATATAAAAATGTGAAATATCGAGGGCTTGAGTTCATTAATACCCTCTATCTGAAATTTGCACAAAAACTAATTTGTGATTTTAGAAATCATCTCGGACTTATTACCTGTCGTTATATAAGGTAGCATTAATATCACTGTTAAAGCTTAGGTTGATTTTTATATCAGAATCTCTTCTTTGTGAAAAGTGTGCAGATAGAGGGTATTATTGAATATAAGCCCTCGATGTTTAAAATATATAAAAATTTTATTTCAACGTATACAAAAAATAAATCTACCTGCGTTACAGCACGACGGGAGACGGGAAAGGGGGGCCGCGGCGTGACGTGGTGTGCGCGCCGGTCGCGCGGTGTGGCGCGCTGACGCGGGCCGCCGCGAAGCTAAGCAAATTGAATGTTTGAAAGAGAAATAATGTCAATGGATTTTATTACGTTTTTAAAAAGGTAATAATGTCAATTGACTTTATTTCGCAACACGGTGGGAAGTAAAGTCAATTGACCTTATTTCCGTTAATCTTATTACCTGTCACCGTTTTTATCATGGTTTATCTGTCTATAAACTATAACAGGGAGCTCTAAGAATTTGTAAATTTTTTATGCTTCCATAGTGCTTTCATTGTCGATAAGCTACTTTTTAACTATTCCTTTGTTCATATGTCCTCTAAAAAGGATCCAAATTAAAGCAACATCCTAATATCTATAATAATATCTCATGGAACACTGCATATAACGCCAACTTTTTTTGCGGTAAGGTAATTTAAGGTATTTTAAATTAATACATACTTATTAACAGCTATGCTAATACGATGAATTAAGTAAATTTATCTTGCGTGTTTTTATTTTTTAATGGATAAAAAATCCTTTAAAAAATAATAAAATTTCCAAACCAATAATTTGCTGAGGTGGCAGTGATACTCGAGCAATTTACGAAATGTATAAACGTCATAAGTACAGTTTATGTCAAAATATTTCAAAGTGAAACTACCTTCTTTTTTTGTATCATGATTGCAACTGCGAAAACGGCGAAAGAGGCCTGGTATCAGCGTACGAAGATTCGGGACTAACGCGCAAAGTTGAGTTACTAAAAAAACTCGTTCAATGCAAACCCACTGATTTTTCGTCGATGCAGGAGTACCTAAATTCTTTGGTGATGACGTCGTTAAAAGTACAAAGCGCCGGACTAAAAATTGATGAGGAAGTGACAGTATCTTTAATACTGGCAGGTCTCCCGGATGATTTTCCACTCCAAGCAAAAACTTACAATTGATAGTGTTAAAGCTCTTTTATTGCAAGGGGAGAAATTTGACAAACCAGAATATGAAAGTGCTCTTTATACAAAGAATAAAAAGAAAACTAAATTGTTTAAATGTCACAATTGCAAATAAATAGGACGTTTTGCAAACCAATGCCCAAATAAATAAGAAGGGCGGTAACTAGGGTGGCCAGATGCGCTGATTTAACCAGCACATGTGCTGATTTTTTTCTATTGTACTGATTTTTAAGAGCCCGAAATCAGTACGCAAAATCTGCTGATTTTTTGAGTTTGTACTGATTTTGTACTGATTTTTACATTTAATAAATACTTTTGTAAATTGGTGTATTTGACATTTGCTTGAGGTTTACATGTTCAAAACAATGGTTTTTGACAACTCATACGTGTGAGCAGATTGAAACCATTATTAAAAAGGTGTCAGCTTGCAATTGTTTCGTTTCCTGGATTTCGCAAAATAACAAACTGTTTGGATTCAACCCAACCCAACTTCACGAATTGCAGGTTTTACAGGATTTACAGGAAAAGCTGATTTCGCCATTAATAAATCTTATGCAAGGTGGTGGTGAGCTAATCATATATTAAGTACACTGAGAAGATGACAATAAGAGATAATGTTTTGGATTATAATTAAACATCCATTGAGAAATCGGCTGCCAGTATGTCAAACTTAAGACGACTACTGCTACGGTGCAATGTAAGTTCTAAAAATTTGGAAATGGTGCAAACTACCGACTCTTGGATATGATATATGTAGCTTTACTTTGATTTTTAATGTTCAACCACCTGTAATTTTACTTGCACATACACATTTAACACTATTAAATTGCATTCGTACTCGAAAATTCGTTTAGCGATAATTCGGTAATATACCTTTTAGTCAACATTTTAATGTGAATGTTGTATTTTATAAGCCCACCAACTAAATATGTTTTAAATTTGTAGCTTAAAATATGCAAACAAATTCTGACTCGAGCTCGTTTTCTACTGAAACTGAATGGGCTACAATTTTTTTTTTAATTTTCTCAATTTTTATAAATTTTCTAGAAAGTTTGAGACTTCAACTCACATGTCTTGTTATAGAATTAACTAAATTTTTATAAGAAATTTAAATTAAGTAAGGAAAGAACAAATTTTCAAAACCTGTCAATACAGTTTACTACTATTTTCCTGAGCAAAGCTGTACATACATTCGTAATACCTATGATTTGTTTTAAAGTAATGAATTTTTATATTGATAATACTATATGTATTTAAAAGTCTTATAGTTATTTTTTGTTAAATTTATGCGCTGTTATTTGGTTATTATATTGTTAATAATAAAAAATACACTTAAAAATGAGCTGATTTTTATGACTTTGTACTGATTTTTGATCCCAAATGTACTGATTATGTCACTATAATATCTGGCCACCCTAGCGGTAACCCCCAGCCCAAAGAATGAGAAAATTCTCTTTGCTTCTTTGCTTTCGCATGACAGCCGCACAGCTGACTGGTACATAGACTCGGGTGCAACCTCGCATATCACGCAAAACAAAAACTTAATTTTTAATGAAAAGCCGGCAATTGATATAAATATCATTGTAGCGAATAATAAAACTATTCCCGTTATGTCTAGTGGTAATTTAAAACTGTGTTTATCGTCGGGATATAATGCTATGCTTAGTGTTGATTATGTACCCGACTTGTGCGCGAATTTGTTGTCAGTACGCGAAATGACTAAAAACGGCAACAAAGTAATACTCGAAGAAGACTATTATAAAATTTTTGATAAACGAAACAACTTAATAGCCACCGCGACCGCTGTTAATGATTTATACAGATTACAGAACACTCAGAACGAGAGAAGTGCTTTTATCGTCAAGAATGAGTTCGAGTTATGGCACCGTAGAATGGGTCATATCTGCAATGAGAAGTTAAGGAAAATCAAAGATTCATGCAGTGGTGTCGATTTTGATAAAATTAGAAAAGAACAATGTGTCGTGTGTATCAAAGGTAAGCAAACTCGGGCGCCTTTTGAAGACAGTGGTACGCGTGCTAAGAACTTACTTAGTTTGATTCACTCGGATGTTGCTGGACCCTTTCCAATAAAATCTTACTAGGGCTACAGATTTTTTGTGATTTTTATAGATGATTTTTCGCGGAAAGTTACAGTGGTGCCAATTAAGCAAAAGTCAGACGTTTTTGATGAATTTATTAAATATAAAAGTTTAGCGGAAAATCAGTGCTTGCGTAAAATCAAAACATTTCGTTCTGACAATGGCCAGTGTGGCCAGAAAAGGTCCCCTAAAAATTTTAATTTTTTCAAAAAAAATCTTCAAAATAAGATTTTAAAGCTAAAAAAATCTTTTCGATCCCAACAAATCTTTATTTAAAAATACCTAAAAAGAAACAAAAAATTCGATAATGTCTTTACGGCTGTAAATAGCCCTTATTATGTTGGTTGAAAAAATACCCTTTTCAAGTTATAAAGTCCGTAACAGTTGAGAGCTTCGCTCAATATGTCAAATTCCAGTATCGAGCCTGGAAAATACACACGTCTAACTAGCGTGCTCTAATCTCTTCCCTTTTCTACTTGGCTCGTCGACCTGTACGGATGCTCGCTCCTCTACGTAGATTGTATTTAGCTTAAACTTTTGTTTTTCACTTAAATAAATAATTCAATATATATTTCGTTAAGTAAGTGACACAAGCGTTTTATTCACAACTACCTGTGTCGCTACATTGGTGACCCCGACGTGATCGCGAAAGATTTGTAAACTCAATTGGTTTATACTCTAAAATTGTAATATTTTTTATCTGCGAGCATCCGTACCAAGAAGAGGACCGCATCAATTTCTTGCAGCGGTAAAGTATCGCAGAGAGAAATCCTATTGCCCAACGCACATATTTCCTTGCTAGCTGGTGATTTCAGCCGATTCTTTTGGCCGCATCGAAATCCATCGTCTTGTGCAAAATACACAATAGCAATGCCGATGAATGCCAGCGGAACACCTAACGAAGTAGCACCGCCAATGCAAACCGACACTGTCTCATCGCCAACAAACATGCCTGGAAATGTATCAGTACGTGCACTTCCTTTTTCCGCAGAGCGACCAGCTTGGTGGTTCGCCCAGCTAGAAGCACAGTTTAGGATTCGCTTCATTACCGACGAGCACGGTCAATTTGATCATGCAGTCTCGCTTATTGACACTCAGTCCGCAGCAAAGATAGAAGACATAATTTTATGTCCCGCCACAACCACACCCTATACGATGCTAAGGCAATGTCTTATCGAGCGACTAACAAAGTCGAAAGACGTTAAGTTGCTCCAACTCTTAGACGGCGAAAAAATTGAGGATCGTACCCCTTCACAATTTTTTCGCCATCTACGTAGCTTATGCCCAGACGTGCCAGACAACGTTCTTAAAGCAAGATGGCAGTCACAACTTCCACCCCAAACACGTGCTTGTCTCGCAGCACAGCCAAACGCACCTTTAGAAGATCTTAGCAGGTTAGCAGACAAAATACACGAGGTGATGCCAAATGTTTCACGCTCTATAGCCACGGTTTCTGAAGAGCAGTCCTTACGCGCAGAAATAGCTGAACCTCGAAAGCGATTAGACTCACTTAATGTAAAGACTCAACGAAATCGCAGTAGGGAAAACACCTCGTACCGTAGTAGGCGTGATTCCTCACACAGTCGCACACGTCTGTCAGCAGATGGTATCTGTCGCTACCACAAAAAGTTTGGTAAAGATGCCCAACGTTGTATTCCTGGTTGTAAGTTCTCGGGAAACTCGAAAGAGGGACAGTAGAGGTGGTCAATGACTCTCCCTCAGTAACATCACGGCGCCTATTTCTATTAGATCGCACCACGGGGACACAGTTCCTTGTAGACACGGGTGCGGATCTATCAGTATTTCCTCGCACCCGAATTAAAAGACACCTAGTACCAGTAGGTTACCAGTTGTATTCCGCAACAGATTTTCCAATTGAAAACTATGGGTACCACACCCTCACTCTTGACTTGAATTTCAGTCTATCACTCGACCGAACGGTGCATTCAAACAAACAAAACACGCGACGGTACACCATATTAAAACGATAGAAGGCCCCCCGGTTTCTCGCTCCGCACAAGTTAAAAATCGCAAAAGATGAATTCGAAAAAATGTTGAAAATGGGAATCGCTCGCCCGTCAGATAGCCCGTGGTCGTCACCACTGCACTTGGTGTCAAAAAAGTCAGGTGAATCTAGGCCGTGCGGAGATTATCGACGCCTTAACCATCGTACAGTACCTGACCGATATCCCGTACGTTATTTTGAACATTTTGGATCAAATCTACATGGAAAATCCATATTTTCTACCATAGATCTCGTTAGAGCATTTAATAAAATTCCGGTAGCGGAAAGCTGCGATAATCACCCCTTTCGGATTATTTGAATTCCCGTTTATGACATTCGGACTCAGAAATTCCGCGCAAACTTCCCAGCGATTTATGGACGAAGTTACACGTGATCTCCCATTTGTATTCCCTTACATTGACGACATTTTAGTCGCCTCAGATAACGAGCAACAACACCTCGAGCATCTTAAAACTATTTTCCACCGCTGACAAGACTATGGACTTGTTATAAATGCTGCAAAATCTAGCTGTGGTCAAAGAGAGGCGAAATTCCTCGGTCACCACATTACATGCAGTGAAATTAAACCACTGCCAGAAAAAGTCAGCGCGATTCGAAGCTTATCACCGCCCGCGACAGTGAAGAAGCTACGCGCCTACATGGGTATGATAAATTTCTATCGCAATTTTATAAAAAATGCGGCAGCGCTACTCGCCCCTTTAAACGAAGTTCTTTCGGGTCCGAAAATCAAAGGTTCACACCCATGGCATGGACGACAATACTTCAAAGTGCATTTGAACGTTCCAAGGAGGCCTTAGCAACATGCGCCGAGCTAGCTCACCCTAACATGAACGCCGACTTGGCTGTCTCCACTGACGCATCTAACTCCGCGGTTGGCGCTGTGTTACAGCAGCGTGTAAGAGCCGCCTGGCAGCCACTCGCGTTCTTTAGTCGGACACTGCCTGAGTCCATTCGCAAGTTGTACGAACCGTACGGCCGTGAACTCCATGCAATATTCGAAGCTGTATAATATTTCAGACACATGTTTGAGGGGCGGCATATTGTAATCTATACGGATCACAAGCCGTTACATGTGTTTGAACAGAAAGCAGAACGCGCTTCTCCATGGCAATTCCGCCGAATAGACATGATTGGCCAAATCATTAGTGTTGCCAGAACTTTCGGGGCCAACCGGCTAGATTGGCAAAAAAAACCGGCTAAACTGTTTCAACTAAATTTCACATGTTTTATTTAAATAAATCATAAGTAGAAATACTAGTTCTTGGGGAGAAGTTCCAAATTAAAGCTGGAAAAAATTTTGGCGGCAAGAATTTGCAATTAGAAAAAACATATGAATGTGGCACATGGTTGCATTTTTTGTCAACAATAATTTCAATAAACAGGTTCGTCAAATTTTAAAATTTACAAACTTGAGCGATTTATAATAAAAAATTTAAGTAAAGACTTGTTTACTTAATTAGTTTAGTTAATTCCAATGATTTGAAACGTACTCGTAACGCAATCTCAACCAGAGTCGATATAGGTAACGCGACAGTTATCAATATCAATATGTGCAATATTTTATCACTGGATCGCAAGGTATGGTGTTCCTCTGAGAATAACCTTAGACCGCGGTGGTCAATTTGAACTTACCCTGTTTCGTCAACTCGCACAACTTTTTGGAATCAACCATTTAAAAACTACGCCCTACCATCCTCAAGCCAATTGACTCCTTGAACGTTTGCATCGGCAGTTGAAGTCGGCGTTGCTAAGTCATGACGAAACGTGGCTTGACGCACTACCAATCGTACTAATAGGATTACGCGCCCACGAACGATATTTCAACAACTCCCGCTGAGCTGGTTTATGGTGAGCCTATTCGACTTCCTGGCGAGTTTGTTAATCCAGCAAATAAAGCCCAGCCCCTTCAGGGACTGCTAAAAAGTTTGATAAATCCCTTTCACAAGCTAGCACCTGTCGAAATGTCGCGGCATGGAAAACGTTCTATTTTTCGTTTCAGGGAACTTGATACTTGCACCCATGTTTTAATCCGGCAAGGCCAAATCGGACCATCGTTTGCAGCACCATATCAAGGGCCGTACCGTGTAATATCGCGCAATGATAAACATTTTTATGTCGACGTCCAAGGGCAGCGAATCCCAGTATCCGCCGATCGACTTAAGCCTGTCTACGAGCTAGACGACGAAGCATCGGTTGAAGATCAACAAACAGTAGCAAGACCTAGCCAAGCTACAAGACATGCTCATTTTGCGGATAACGTCTAACTAATTCTAGTTATAATTTCATATACATTGTATTTATCTAAATTTTTTTTTGTAATGTAAAACACTTAAATAACAAGGGGAGGCGTGTGGCAACTCTTCAACACACTGAGAGCTGCTAAACAGCTGAGAGCTTCGCTCAATATGTCAAATTCCAGTATCGAGCCTGGAAAATATACACGTCCAACTAGCGTGCTCTAATCTCCTCCCTTTTCTATTTGGCTCGTCGACCTGTAAGGATGCTCGCTCCTCTACGTAAATTGTATTTAGCTTAAACTTTTGTTTTTCACTTAAATAAATAATTCAATATATATTTTGTTAAGTAAGCGACGCAAGCGTTTTATTCACAACTACCTGTGTCGCTACATATATACGCTGGCGAAAATATAAATAGGGACGCGACATTTTGCAAGTTTTGACCGGCTTCAAAAAAGGAGGAGCTTATCAATTCGTGCGAATATTTTTTTTGTGTATGTATATATGTTACCGCAGAACTGTGGACTACTTGAACTGATTTCGATAATTCGTTTTTATCGGAAAGGGTGGTACCATACTACTACTACTACTAATTTGGTTTAGATACGGTGATTGGATCATGAAGAAATTGACGATCAATTTTTATATGAGAATTGAAGTTGCTTGTGTTATCTTCAAAAACCATAAGTCCAAACTTCAATCTTTGTACAATAGTTAAGAAAATTCGATAAAGTTCCATAACAATTTTGAGCTTTTTAATTCGATTTTTTATAGATATTTTTACATGGACGTTGTTTTATAAATCTTGCCGCCCCTTTTTTTTTTGTCGTTATACATTTATCCATGTAAACCCATCACCAAGTGTTTCTTAAATGGCAGTTTATGTGACATTTTCCATTGTTGTCATTTAAGCCAGAGGGGATACAAAAGACCGTTTGTTCTTTTCCTTCACTCTCTAGCTTTGTGCTAGAGTATGTGCTTTACTGTGCCAGCGAACAAGGCAGATAATATTTTAGGGGATTTGGTATTTCATTTTTCTTCCTCCTTAATTTGCTGCTTGCAATGATGTAGCAAGGATAATATAAATAAGTTAACTTAAACATTAAAAATATTACATCATACACAAAAATCTTCATTTTGAAGATATTTTCAGTGTATAATTCTGCTTTTTAAAAAATCTTCATTTTCAAGATAAATCTTGACTTATGGCAACGCTGATAATGGCACAGAGTACACTAATAGAAATTTTAGAGAATTTTTAATGAAACATGGTATTGTACACCAAACATCTTCGCCATATACTGAGCAAAATGGTGTGGCAGAACGTTTAAATCGAACAATTGTTGAAAGAGTGCATTGTATGCTGGTAGACTCGTGGTTTAAATAAAAAATTTTGGGCTGAGGCGTCGGTTACTACAGGCTATATTCTGAACAGTGATCGGACTTCAAAAAAAATGTGTGTGGTTGAATCTGGAAACAAATGGGGTAGATTTCAAAAAAATTTTGTAGATCTCAGGTTTTGGATCCTTTGTACAAAAGTAAAAAAAAATTCTGCAAGGTTTCATCCAAATTGAAAACATTTAATTAGAATCTAAAAAAAATTAGTTTTAGTATGATAAAGTGCAAAATTGAATTAGCAAATTGCGTTGAGTTTTGGAAAATTTTTTCCTTGACATTTTAAAGCAGATATTTTTCGAACATATTTTGAAAGATTCCTGCAACCTTGTGGAGTGCTACCAGCTTTTCCTTTTATCACATCACGATGTAGCGAACAAATATGGCACGTTCCAGAAACCGCTACTTGGGATTTGCCGATTTTGAAAATTCTCAAGTAAAAGTAAACAACGCTTTAGAAACTTCATATGCACTGAAATTTGCTAATACTTTCACAAAAATCGCCGTTTTTTAACATTTTCGCTGTTAATTCTTTTTATAAATCATATATTTTGCTATTTCAAAAAATAAAACCACGTTTCCTGTCGAAAAATTTAATATTGAGAAAATTTACTATTTTATGGTTTATTTTATCCTCCCATTCTGCCTGTTGTTAGTGTTTAGTGTTGGACAACTGTCGAGTAAAACTAAAACTACTCAAAAAGTCAAATATGTGGTAGATTGCAGACCTTGTGTCGTAGATGCTCAAAAAAGTGGCAGATCTTCCACAATGTGGTAGAAGTCCGATCACTGATTTTGAACCGCGTTTCGTACTGAGAAGATTCGCGCTGTCCAGAAGAAATCTGATCAAATACAAAACAGTCTCTTAAGCATATGCGTGTGTTTGGCAGTAAAGCCATGGTACATGTTCCAAAGGAAAGACGTCACAAATTAGACGTAAAATCAATCGAGTGCCTAATGGTTGGGTACTGTAACACGTCTAAAGCTTACCGTTTGTTTGACCCAAAGACGCGTAAAATCATCATGTTATTTTTATTGAG